CGGAATGCTTCCATGTGTTCCATCTCTCACAGAATGCGAATGCGGAAGCGTTTCTAATTTTTGAATATGTTTGATTATAACAATAGATGAGGATTATGTTTCTGGCTGCTTTACGCAGTGTTACTGAGGTTAAGTAAAGCGCCGACCATTATCAGTTGAATTAATAGGTGATGCCGTTTTATTACTCGTCAATAAGCTGCAGTTACGTAATGGTTGAGCACAAGGATGAGTTCCTACGTATCAGCAAATATCCATGGGACCTGGTGCTTACGGATTCGCTGTTCTCACCATGTGCGTATGGACTTGCGCTACTTAGTCGAGCAAATCATATTATAATGCACACGACTAGTGTTGAAGCAGCGCCAGGCCTTGCCAAAGGCTTTGCCAGGTAAGAACAGCAAAATTCTTAATCACTAAAAGACATCTGATTTCAAAAATTAGCGCAGTTTATACTTGTCCCTCATCCTTGCATCCCTTTTCTTCTGAAAGAAGAAGTAAATGTAATAAGGTGTACTCGCACAGAAATTTAATATCTTTTCTATCTGTCTGTATGAAGCTGCCAGATTTTGCCGTTATGTCTGTGGCAAGATTGCAGATAGACGATACCAGTTTGAAACAGTCTGATAGCTATATCTGTTTTGGCCAGGAAATTAATATGCACCACTATCGTCAGTCGGAAACGGTACGCAGAAGGCTGGCGGACAATACAAATTTCATAGCATCACCGATTTCGGCAAAGTCATGAACCAGCAGGCCAGTGCGAAATTCTTCAGTACTACAGTGCTGAAGGCAATGACGCGCGGGTGCGAAACGTAATCAATAATTTGCCAACGCCGCCCATGCGAAGACGTGTTTTTTGCACACTTCCCCTCAGTTTTTGACGCTACCAGCACCAGTCTTTTCAGCAAATGTTTCTAGCTAAACAAATTAAGACTAGCCGCCAGAACTTCAAGAAACACCTCCTTAAAATTTCAGCTTTCTAGCTTTCCTGGCTCCTGCGTTAACTACTTACTGGAAGAAAACTTTCACAGGCCGTACATGGGTACCACGCATACCCGATGTCTGGGTTTGAGCTCGTTGACACTTAGGTGGATGGGGAACAACCTCTTAAAACTACAGTCTTCTGTCTCTTCAGGTTCTCGAGTTAGCAACTTACCCCAAAAAGATTTTAGCGGGCCCGTACGCGAGTACCACGCTTACCCGGGGACTGGGTTTAAGCTCATTAATACCTACTTGGACGGGGAACATTCCCTTAATTAATTTCAGCCCTCAAGCATTTCCGATTGCTGAGTTAGCAGCTTTCCTGTAAAAAAGTTCGACGAGCTCTTACGTGGGTACCACGCGGGTAAGACTGCCCATTTTGGAAATGGAGGCCGTACGTGCATGTAGATTAAATTCCCAAAGTTTCAGCCCTATAGCTTTTGTAGGTCGCGAGATGAAAAATCGGTCCGGAGGTCCAGCACACACAGACACACACCCACAGACACACATAGGCAACCTCTCCTCAGTATGCGCTTTCCGCATTGCGTAGCTGCAAGAAACGCATAATAAAATGAATCATTGGCAACGCGTGTGGACAAGCCTGTGCGATTATGCGTTTTTGCAGTTTTTCGTGCTGTAATTAGATCGCTCGGAAACCTAGTAGCTACGATTTGTGACATACTGGTCCACGAAGTTCGGGAGGTTAATTAACTACGCTGTACTTGGACAAAGAACATTCCTTTAAAATTTCAGCCTCCCAGCTTTCCTGGTTCCCGAGTTAGCCATTTAACCGCCGAAAAATTTTACGGGGCCGTACGTGGGAACCACGCAAGCCTGGGGGCTGAATTTGAAAAATTAAAGTTCCACATATGCTGGGAACATTCACTGAAAATTTGGTCCTCCTAGCTTTCCTCGTTCCCAATTTAGCGATTTTCGAGCCAGAAACCTCACGGGGCCATATGTGGGAGCCACACATATCTCTGAGCTTTATGTTGACGGGGAAAATAACTTCAAAATTTCAGCTTTCTAGCTTTTTTGGCTCCCGAGTTAGCGATTTCAGGCGCTCGTACGCGAAGCCTAGATGTGCGTGAGGGTTGATACCGCAGTTCTGGGGTGGCACTTGGCCGGGAAATTCACTGCAAAAATTTTAACGACGGAGCTTGTTTGGGTGTCGAGTTAAAATACGCGAGCAGACGCACACACATACATATATACACACACCGGGATCGTCAAAATATGCGTTTTTGCATCTGCATATAAGCAACCCAGGCTGGAACGCACCGGGTGAGCCCGTGGAATCATGCGTTTTTGCACCGGACTTTAATTACTCAGATCATTAACTGTATGAATGGCTGTTGCTTTACGTCTACCTTTTGCGGTCACTAACATAAATCACCACAAATTTTGCAAAGAAATGTGTACTTTCCATTTAACAGTTGTTCTTTAAAAGTAACCTAGTTGTTCAGTGAGATATTTTTTCGTCAAGACTTTTAAGTGCCCGTACGTAAGAAACATGCAAACTTCAAGGCTGAATTTGAAATACTTAAGTTGTACTTGAACAGGGAACTTCCCCCTAAAACTTAAACTTTCTAGCTTTTCTGGTTCCCGAATTAAAATTTTCCCGTAGAAACTTTCTTACGCCCTTGGGTTAGTACCACGCATAGCTTGGGGCTGAATTTGAAATATTTATGTTGTACTTGGGCAGGGAACATTCCCTCAAAATTTCAGCTTCCCAGCTTTTCTGGTTACCGAGTTAGCAATTTTCCCGCCAAAACCTTTGCATACCCGTACTTGGGTACTCCGGGTCCTTAGAAAGCTGAATTTGACAATTTTAAATTGCACGTGAGCTGGGATCATTCGACTGAAATTTCAGCCTTCTAACTCTTCTGGTTGCCGAGTTAATAATTTTCCTGTAGAAACTTCCATATGCCCTTACGTGAGTACCATGCATAGCTTGGAGTTGAATTTGAAACATTTGAGTTGCAACTGGACGGGGAACATTCCTCCAAAATTTCAGCTTTCTAGCTTTCCTGGTACCCGAGTTAGCAATTTCGCTCCTAAAACTTTCATACGCCCTTACGTGAGCACCACACACACCTGCAGGCTGAATTTGAAATCTTTAGCTAGTACATGTACAGAGAATATCCCTACAAAGTTTCAGCTCATGTAGTTCCCGAGATCGCTTTCCCGCCAAAAATTTGCATATTTTTTTAAAACGTCCGTACGCGGCAACTAAACGTCCGCGGGGGATGAAACCCGAGGGTCGCGCATGGTATTGCTACGTGTCCTCAAAATTTCAGCCTTCTAGCTTTTCTGGTTCTCGAGTTGAAAGTGGGTAACAAAAAGTGCGAACACACAGACACATACACACACACACACACACACACACAACATCTTCCCAATATGCATTTTTGCAATTTACATGTATGCAAAACGCCTAAAAACGCATAATAAATGAGCAAGCTTGGTCGTTGTTGGAGAAAGAAATGAAGTGGAGAGTGATTAAAATGTTTGTTTGTAACTGTATAAGCAAATCACTGACGACGCATACTCGGTGCGCCATGCGATCATGTTTTTGTGCAATATTTAGTGCTGTAATGAGATTGCTCGGAAAAGCAATAGCTAGAAAATGTGTGATATACTGGTCCTCGAAGTCCGGGAAGTTAATTGTATTTGAACAGGGAATATTGAAATTTCAGCCTTCCAAATTTTCTGGTTCTTGAGTTAACAATTTCCGTGCCAAAAACTTTCACGAGGCTGTACGTGACAACCACTCAAGCCCGAAGACTGATTTTAATAATTATAAGCTGTACATGTGCTGGAAACATTCTCTGGAAATTTCAGCTCCCCAGCCTTCCCGGTTCCCGAGTTTGCGATTTTCGTGGTAGGAACTCTCACGGGGCCGTACGCGGGAACCATGCACAGCTGGGGGCTGAATTTGAAATCTTTGAGTTCTATGTAGACGGGGGACATAACCTCAAAATTTTAGCTTTCTAACTTTCCTGATTCCCGAATTAGCGATTTTCTCACTACAACTTTCACCCCCTCGTACGCGGGACCCAGACTTGCGTGAGCGATGGCACAGCGATTCTGGAGTGGTACTTAGCCTGGGAACCCATCGACGAAATTTTGGCGTCGAAGATTGTTTGGTTACCGAGTTGAAATACGTGGACACACACACACACACACACCGGAATCGTCACAGTATGCGTTTTCGCATTTGTATATATACAAAAACGCATAATAAACTATAAATCACACGAAGAGCAAGTAGAATTTATCACTACGGCTGCGCGAGAAAGAAAAATTTAGTGGGAAGACCTATTACTTGCCCATCACCGGTGGACGTGGCGTATGAGTGTTTAAAAACTAACCGATCACTCTACGGCCCTTGAGTGATCGGTTAGTTTTTAAACACTCATCCTCTGATGGCACACATACATCGGTCAGGTGTATGGGTACTAACTGGAACATGCAGCTCGGAATCAAAAAGTAACATCACTAAGATGGGATACTCATAGTGTTTGCCCGGGCAGTCTTGATAATCCTTAAATGCGAAGCATATATTTCTAGCTTTGCCGCAGTCTGTTTACAGGCACTATGCTACGATGCCGCCATTCTTCATGAAAACAGGAAATGCTCACTATGACGTGAAGAGCTTCATGGATCGTTTATATTTGACTTACGAATGGGTCGCAGCTTGGTTTGTAACCGCTGTGGCTGCGAACTTCTACATGCAGCGGGCATTAGCACCAGTTATTCCAAACTTCGACTATATGAATTATATCCGTATGTCGTCCATGAGCTTCACTGATATGCCAACTCACCTGTATCTTCCGGACTCCAGAAATAACGAGGTGCATTGCGCATATTTCGTGAAAATAGTGCAGAGTTTATAAAATGTCTTATCCTGGTTCGGGAATAACAGCACCTGAGGCGAGATGGTGATGTTCAACGCACACTAATGTCCCGAAACGACTCAAGACTTCCGAGGGAACTGTTGATCTAGCAATCTGTTAAGGAGGCAAAAAGAACGCCAGGATC